CCCCCAAAACCCCAAAACCCCAAAACCCCTCATTTTAAACATAAAATTGAAATTTTTATTTTATAATCCCATTATTTATATTCATATTTTCAATCCTTAAAAAGTGTCAAAACTTAACTCTGACTGCTCTTTTTCTATCTTCCTCTCCCTTCTTATTATAATCTGTTCTTGTGATAAGGACTTTTAATTAGCCTGGATTCCTCAATCAACCTTATTGAACATGATAATTTTTGATTCTTTTCTGTTCAAGCTTCTGTTTTCCATGGTTTTTATTACTTCTTTCCCGACTTGAATCTTTAGAGGTTCTAATCAGGGTCAATTTCTCTTGAATTTTAGCATATTGTTCTTCAGGGAAGTTCAAACTTTAGTGGTTGTTCTGCGTATCTCTATCGAAATTCGGGATGCTGTTCCTAATATATTTTTAAATACTAATACTGTAATTGGATCCTTGGCCTCAGCTCCACGGCAACAACTGATTAGTATTAATCACTGAGAGAATGTATTCGCTTTAATGGAGCTCTTCCTGGGGATACCAATACGTCAGCCCCAATGCTTCTTGTGCGAACAAGAGAGTGGAGATAATTATCCTAAGCACTGTTAAAATCCTTCCTCAATTTCTCTTTATTCTCAGGATCTATTTCTTGGAGATGATAATCAGTTTACCAGAGTAGATGTTTGCAGTTTGTTTCTTTATTCTAGAAGCTCCTTAATCTTTCGGTCATATTGCTTCTTATTCTCTCCCATAAGAATAATGCCTTCATTACAAATGCGTTCTCTCTGCTTCTCCTTCTTCATGTCTTCTAGGAAGCATTCAATGGTCATGTTAGATTTATGATACTTTCGTATTCATTCCTCTAATCTGTATCGTCTTTTTGTTATTGGTTAGAATTAGCTATTTGCTTTTCCTGAATAAATCTTCGTAACATTTTGCTCATAGTTATTAGTTCCTCAATTGGTTAATTGATTCTAACTATTCTGTCTTTCGAAAGAAGTGCTTGATTTGATACTTCTGAGTTGACTACTTTGCTACAACATTTTAAAAATCAGCCTTATCAGTGCTCTTGCTACCTCCTTCTCAAACTATGGAGGTTTTCCCTTTTGCTCTTTAAAATGAGGCTGGTTAGCTTGAATACAGATTTCTGCAATTTCTCAGAAGGTTTTGAATATCATTATCGTGCATTTTTTATCTATAGTTTAGTTATTCTTCTTGAATGATCTTTCAAGTTAAGCATGATACTTCAGCTGGGTTTTATATCTCAAAGGACAGGAAAGAGAGGCTCAGATCTTGTGCAGTAATATTGCTTAATAATTCAGAAATCAGGTAGAAAATTATTCTAGCTTCTCGATCATGATATCAAGGAAATTTCTGACTTTCTAAACCTTCACATTAAGTAACATGTTTGTTTAGAAATTTAGGTAAAAAAAGGTTTATTTTCAAAATTAGGGATTATTAAAGGGGTTTTGGGGTTTTGGGGTTTTGGGG